TCATTACCCCAAGAAAACAAGAAAACAAGCAAGCTCAGAGAGCACCAGGGACTCCTCATTTCAACCCTGAACTACAAACATTATTCTTTATAAATACATACTTTCTGGGTGAAAGAGAAAAGTAAAAATATCCTTGTGCTAAGAGCTAAGATTGATTTGTTTCTTCCAATATATTTTATTTTTAATTTTCTACATTTGTTTTTGCAAAATTTGGGTTCTAAACTATTTTTTGTAATTACTTAAGACTTATTAGCATTACTAGGAATAAGAGATTGGTGGTCTCAGCTCCCAACCATGACAAGAGGGTCCTATTTTATTAGACTTTGCCTTACGATTCAGGCATTCTCATATAATATCTGTTTAATATGACGCACTTCTAATATTGAATATGGGTTTACCTACACTAATAACGGAACGAAATTATAGAGAGCAATTCTCTATTTGAGTCCTGGTAGCCAAGAAGCCAAAAATATTGCAAAGGTGTTAAGAAGGGTAAAAAGACTTTCGAAAATGGATCAAAATCTTACGCTGCCTGTTAAATCAGAGTCACAAAATTTGAAATGACCTCAGAGATTATGTGACCCTGCTCAATGCTCATCACACTAGATCCTTCAGCTGTTGTGAGTGGGATGGAGCTAAGCAATCTAGCCATTTACTTATAGTTTTTAATCATAAAAATTATGCTCAATTTATTTTAGTTACTTGTTTTCCATTCTAGATGCCCCCAAGTTAAACCCTATGTGATGGCAATTGATACAGAAGCTTGACAGAAGAATCTTGATAACCCTGGTGAACTCTTGAGTGAGATCACAACAGAATGGAAGTTCTCTGTCCAGTTTTCCTACAATCACATAATATACTTGTGACCTGTGACTCAGTACTATGCTCTTAGCAAAAGCGAAAGCTTTTCTAATACAGACCTAACTTCCGTAGATATCAACTTCAGTGCCAGGCAGGTTAAGAGGTTGGTGGATCAGAAATATTTCTCCTCTGCACAGCAGAATCCTTGATCCAACAACAGATACAGAAAAGCCCTATTTATATGAAGTTGTTTTATTTAATGTATGTAGAATTAAATCTGCCCTAATGTTTTCCTGGAAATACCCCAGCACTGAACGTAGATTCTGGCTTTTTTAACCTTTTGGAGAAGGACTTTTATCTTATATTAGAGCTTGGCCAAAAGAATTAGATGGAAAGTGCTTTTAAAAAAAACAACAGTTGATTTTATTAAAATAGAGACATAAAAACTATTTTAAAAATCTTGATGTGATAGCTCACCTGCCTCAACTCTACTGCTGGGCCCCTTCCCATATCCAAAGCTACTTTGATGGGTGCCAAACACGGATGAAGCTTAAGGACCTGAAATAAAACATTTTTGAAAATAAGGTAAAAAATAACAATTGCAAATATTTACAGAGCAGGAGATTTCTTAAAAGTAGCTTCTTTTTTCTCAGAATGTCCCTGCTGGGAAAAATGAAGGCGATACTTGCTTAGTCTCTCTGCAACTTCCAGGGTTTCTTTCTTCCATGCCTTCAACCTCCAGAATTATTGGGGGGGAAGGGGAAGAGAAGAGACATACACATACAGTAGATGGGGAAAGTGGGAAAGGGTCAAAGATCACTCTGTTTTCTTATGGAAAGTTTCTATATCCAGGGCACTGAAAGCAACACAAACTACATTTATAGTTTTCAAATTTACAGCAATGGAATCTTTTAATTGTCCAAATGAAAAGTCTCAAACAGGAGACAGCACAACTGCAAGGGGAAAATCTTACACTTAGCTTCCATTTGCATTGATTTAATTCAATTTAGGAGTATGAATCACCTTTCTCTGCAGAGCTTTTTTGGGGGTCAAACCATTTTCAGACACTTGCATGCTATCATAGAGGTACGCTAATACTCCACTGTCCAAATTGCCGTTCACAGAGAGGACATGAGGAACAACATGCTTTCGCCCATCTCGACCCTGAAGAAGAAACATCAAAATGTGCATTCTGTTAATATGCCATTTCATCATAATCACCTATATCGCTCGTATTATATGAAACGGATGGTACAGGGAAAAATGGGATGGTGCTAACATAACAGCACTAAAGAGTTTAATAAAACTTACATACAATCTTGATACATTTCCTGGATACATTTGTAATAGTTCATTGTCTCCCAGCATCTGCAGAGTTTCTATTGTTTCCTTCCCCCAGGGAAAATTATAATACAGATTGTTTCCTCTTCTTCCTTCTTCATTGTGAGCACCACTGCTGAAGTTGGATGGGCTTATGGCAAACTATTAAAAAGAAATATAAAAATGCAGGGATTTACAGACTAAGTATATCCCAGGTAAACACAAAGACTACACATATTTTTATTCTCAACACAACTGAAAATATGGAAATACTTTGGAAAGCAAGTACATATTCATTTATAAAAATCTGGCTAGGAAATAATGTATACTTCAGTATTCATTACCCATATAGACACATTACCTATATAGATACTGACTGCAATTTTTGTTGATACAGGAAAACTTATCTTAATTCTAACAAGTTATAAAAACTTAATATTCCCCCAAAGTAATTGTAAAAAAGTATTTTTAAAAGTCATTTGAAATTTTTCTGTTTAAATTCCAAATTAATTTTGGACTGTTGGTTTGTAGTTGCTGATTTTTTTAATATAAATTTTATTAATGAACAAACAAAAAAAACATTAAAAACAATGATACATAAAAAAATACAAATTTACATATGTACATAAATATTAATAATTTTTGTTACAATTACTCCTTTCTTTTTTTAAACCAGTGGTAAAACTTCTCCCAATTTTTTTAAAATCAGATTCAGTCTTATCTTTTAATTCTTGAGTTACTCTATCCATTTCAGCGCACGACCAAATTTTTCTAATTATTTCCATCTTTTCTGGCATATTATTTCCTTTCCATCTTTGGGCAAGAGCTAGTCTCATGGCAGTGGTGACATGAACTATTAGGTATATTATCTCCTTGTTATATTTTCCAACATTGATTCCCAACAGAAAAATTTCAGGTCTAAACTCTATTTAAATTTTACACATCTCTTCCAACCAGTTTCTAATACTCAGCCAATATTTCCACCAATTTCCACATTTCCACCATACATGGTAGTATGTTCCGATTTCTTTGTTGCATTTTCAGCATTGCGGGGTGGAGCCAACTGTCTGGGAGAGAAGATGTGAACGATATAGAGAAAACCCTGCATTAAAAGTCAGCCCTAGTTAACAACAGAAGGAGCGGCAGATTTAATGGTGGGCAAAGAGATTGGAAGAAGATAGGGAAGCCATAAAAAAAAATCTGGTGAATAGAAGAGAGAAGATCGGCTGTATGGCTGTTAAAGAAAAAACGATTAGCTTGGCGTCTGGATTTAATGCGAGAAAAATTTTGGACTATACTTGGAGAAGGGTGACATTTGAAAGTGCCAAGTGTGGAACTGTGAGAGATCTGTGGAATTACAAAATAAAAATGGAAAGGTTTGGAATGATTTGAGTAACTTTGAACTAATGAACTTGATTTAAAAAACTGAGAGAGAATTGATAACTTTGATCAAATATTGTGGTGACATTGGATTCTTTTTGGATTTTGGTTCTATATTTCTTTTGAACTGTTCTGAACATTCTTGGAAAAAGAAGCTTGGAACTAATTAAAATGGAGGGTACAAAGAAATGAGTCTGCAATTTTGAAGTTGACAAAGAGACACTATAGCGCTTCATGAGAGACACCTGCTGGTTACTGAACTGAAGTGAAACTGTGACAAGAAAAAGGATACTTGGTTACTTTTCCCTTTATAGTAAAGTTCTTGTTTTTCTTTTCTTTTTGGTATATTTTGTTGATTCTTATTTATTAAGAAACTTATTAATTTATTGCATATATAGGCAAGTATATAGGTAAATGTAATACTCTGCTGATATTGGGGAATACAGATTGATATAATTATACAAATATACAAATACAAATATAAATCATATATTATATACCTGATAACTAGGTTGATTACTTAAAGTATAAGAAATTTTTTAAATAATTATATATTTTGATAGATTGGTATATTATGCTATAGATTAATTAGGTATATATTTGTTATCTTCAAGACTTAACTAAGTGGGATTATTATAAGCAATATAACTGTTAAAATTAATTATCACATATTGATTGGTATTATTGTGGATATGTTTTAACATACTACTGATTATTGGATATTAGATGGGATTTATTTTTAGATTGGCTTCAATATTAATATAAATATTTGGACAAGTGATAGAGTTATAGAACTGATATAAGGGGGGAAATTAATTAAATATTGCAGAGTGATATGTTAGTGTGAGAATTAGAAATTTAAAAACTGGAGGGAACTGGAGGGATTTGAAAGAGAAGAACAAAATTGGAAGACGTGATGGAAAAAGATTATAGCAAAGATATTTAGTATGACAAGTAATACAAATATACCTAAGCCGGGAGCTGGAAAAAAAATACCCACCCAAACATTGACAACGACCTCAATGGCCAGTCCCTCCACACAGAGAGCTATAGATGAAATGTTACCAAGGGAGAGATCAAACTCGATAAAAGATCTGAAAGGACTAATGCTGAATATGCAGGAAATGCTATCTAAAAACCATGAAGATCTGAAAACAAAGATAGGATCACTAAGATCTGAATTAAAAGAAAAAATCCAAATTATAGATGAAAAATTTGAATGCTACCAACAAGAGATGAGGAAAAACCAAGAAAAAATAGTGGAAATAGAATTTAGAATGGATAAAGAGGAGAAAAAAGTGGAAGACCTGATGGATAAGCTGATACAAGCAAATAAAGAGCTGGAATCTACAGTAATTCTACTGGAAGCAGAAAAAGCTCGCTATCTGAGATTCCAAAATATTAAGGAGAAAAAAGAAGATGATTTGCCGGATGTAATGGGTGAGATAATTGCAAAAATATTGAAAATGGAAAAAGAAGAAATTGTGATGGAAATGGACGAGACATATAGAGTGCAGATGAACTATGCAAGAAGGCACAATATTCCTAGAGAAGTTCATGTTTGACTGATTAAGATGAAATATTACACAGAACAAGAGATGATCCAGTAGAACATAATGGAAAATAAACAACTGTCCTTAAATAGGTGCCGAGAAGTGTCAGGGACTTGAGGAGACCTTACCACTTTCTGACAACTAAGCTAATAAAATATAATATCAGTTTTAGATGATTGATGCTGGAGGGAATTATGGTCAACTGGCAAGAGAAGAGAGATCGACTAGACACCATTGACAAAGCGGAAGATTTCTATGATCAACAATTTGCTAATGAAGGAGAGACAGCAGTGGAAGAAGAGGAAGGAAAGACTTGGCTGAGGAAAGAGGAGCAGAGGTAGAAAATAAGGAAGAAAATTCACCGGACAACCAGGAGAGGAGATATGGAAGAAGAAAGGCAGAAACATATGAAAGACAATATGCAGAATCCAGAGAAATGAGAGCAACAAGAAATACGAGACAAAGAAATTGAAAAAAAAAAAA